CCCACGAGGCAGCGGACTTTGCGCACAAGTGGAACCTGTCCAATGGCTTTGCCACTTGGTTCGAGACGATTTTGCGCTTTGGGTTGTCTAGAAGACTCATAGTCCTGGTGCTTCCAAGACTTTGCCTTGTGAGCTTTGGGGTCATGCATCTTTAGTTCAATGGAATCCCAGAGCCACAGAGTCCAAAGCTTAAGGGTGTGCGCCCATCCCCATCCAAGAGATTATGTGTTCAAGTCGGTTTTTCGGGCAGCGTTATGATGCACATACATGGCTAGGCGTTTCCGTGGTGATGCCTGGTGAATTGTTGGGGCGTGGGAGCATCTGAGCCCCCGACTTCAATTTGCCACGAAGATATCACAGAAACGAGTTGTCATGGTTCGGATGAGTTTGCTCTTGAGCTTGGAGCCGCAACCCCAAACTCGCAAAGTCTTGCAACAGCTTGATGTTTCGTGTCGTGGGCGGAATGCAAGCCTCTAGGTTGAGATTTCTGGATCGGATCGTGCAGGATTCAGGGTTCGCGGTCTTGCTTAGCTGGAAGAGGTTTTGCTTGAAGGATCTACCATAGCCTGTGTCTGCGGCGCACACAATGAAGTAGCTCCAAAGGAGGAGTAGACGTAACAAGAGCAGAAACCTTTTCCACACCCGCAAGTATGGTAGCAGGCTAAGTTGCAATGTGTTTTCTTTTAGATGTAACTTTTCCTTTTTCCTACTGACCCCACGTACCCCACCTAGCCCACCTGCCCCGCCTACCCCCACTGCCCCGCCTACCCCACCTACCCCTGCTACCCCACCTGCCCAACGTAGCCTCAACCAACCCGGCAGTCAGGCTTTGCGACGAAGAAGGAACGAGCTCATGCAGACAACCATGCGCAGCGGTGAATCCAGCAGGAACCTTTTGCCGAAGACGACAACCCCCAGGAGTGAATCCAGGAGGAACCTCTGACAGCCTTTGACCTAAGACGAAAACCCTAAGGAGCGCATACCTAAGATAAAAAAAAACCGTAAGGAGTGAATACGCCAGGCGCAAACTAAAAAGTGAATCCAGCCGGAACATTTTCCCGAAGACGAAAATCCAACAGGAACCTTTGACCGAAGACGAAAACCCTAAAGAGTGAATCCAGCAGGATACTTTGACCCAAGACGAAAACCCTAAGGAGGGAATCCAGCCGGAACTTTTTCCCGAAGACGACAACCCGAAGGAGCGAATCCAGCAGAAACCCTTGACCGAAGACGAAAACCCTAAAGAGTGAATCCAGCAGGATACTTTGACCCAAGACGAAAACCCTAAGGAGGGAATCCAGCCGGAACTTTTTCCCGAAGACGACAACCCTAAGGAGCGAATCCAGCAGAAACCCTTGACCGAAGATGAAAACCCTAGGGAGAAAAAGTTAATACACCATACAACGTTAGTGGTTTGCTGCTAAAGACACCCCAAAAAAGTTATAACTAAGATGCTTGTTTTGCAACCCACTGCAGAGATTTGCTGTTTTCGGAGCCAAGAAAAGTTACAACTAAGCCATTTTGCTGAGATAGCTGAAAAATTACATCTCAGTGTTCTACCCTCAGGTAACCGGGAAACTTCAAGGCCGCGGGGCCTTCTACCCTAAAACTCCGAACCGAGGTCCAGTGCAAATTCGAGAGCCCCTTGGCAGCCCTGCAAGTAGCGCAAAGCCGCGGTTTGCGACTCCAGGCTCTGCAGAAGTTTCTTACCACTTCTAGGACTTAGAGCTTTGTCGCCAGAATACATTATTTGGTCCCTGGCGGCGGCGTTGAATGCGGTGCTGATAACGAAGACGACGGTGATGATGATGATCAGGATGATGGTACTGATGATGAAGATGACGGAAGTGATGGTAGTGGCTCTGGCGATTGGAGTGTTTTTGTTCCTGATGCTTATGTTCATGACGACGACAACGATGCTAACAAACTGCATCATTATACTCAGCATCACGTAGAACAACTGTAACAGCAACAACAACAACAACAGCAGCAGCCGCGACGACGACAGCAGCAGCAGCAAGGACGACGACAAGAGCAACAACTGCTAAGAACGAAAATAACGCGGAGTGCAGCGCCACGATGCCCCAAGCCATTGCACCGCCTACAAATCCAGACATCAAATCACTCATGCATCGACAGCGGTGGGCTGTGGTCTACACTGATGTCATAAGCGTCTACCCCTGTGTATTGCAGTATAGCACTCGTGTACACATGCCTTTCAGGATTACATGTGGCAACCTCGTTTTCGTTTGGAGCTTCCCCTCGCTATCAGCAACCATGCGCACAGTTGCCTGTGAATCGTTCGTTTTGGCTGCAACTTCGTTGCACACTATCATTCGAGTTCCAAAGCGTTCTTCAGCCCTCCATAATTGCTCTAGGAGCCGCCGACGGCACGGAAAATACAAATCGCCTAGATCAGAACCCATTTCAAGTCTTAGCTGACTGTGCATGTGCTGCATGTACTGGTGGTCACATAGCCTTGGAAAGCTCGTGCCGTCCAGCTTTCAAGCAGGCTCGTGAGAGAAATCTCCCCTCTTTGAGGCTCTTCCCCTGTGAAGTCAGCACGGGGATCTCTGGGAGGCACTTGTGACCTTCCAGTGTACACGCCGCAGTGATAACGCGATATCGGAAGCCCCGAAGCTCAGGCCTCACGCCGGCCCAGCGAACCATGATTATGGAGAGATTCTACAGCCCGCCAGGCTTGGCCACAGCCGGGCCATGATGCTTGACGGGATTTCTATCAGTAGGTTGATACAGAGGGCTGCGTCGAGTGCATTGCCGTCAGCATGCACTGGCATAGGGGTTCGGATTCTGGCAACGGGCCTCGGTGGCTACGCAGAAACTCCAAGCCCATCATCAGCATCTCCGCCAGGGATGGTGGTGTCGGGAAAGTTCGAGCCACTTTGAAGCAAGTTCATCTGGGAATTTCCCATCGTTTCGCTATTTCGACAGTAACTGCCATTCAGGTATATAGGGTGTGTGATGCTTTGACCGCCACATTGTTCTGCATCAGATGGGTTGTAGGCTCAGTGCGGCAAGTTGTGGTATGGGTTTTCCAGCGGCGTCATCATGATGAAGCCCTGATTCTCTGCACTCACAGAGTGCAACCGCATGAGAAAGCCCAAGGAAATTTGTGGATTCTTGCGAGGCGTGCCTTGGCATAAGCGCTGTCAGAACGTATCCATCGAAGCCAGTGGAGAACAGGATATGGTGTCGGCTTCGTAGTGCCTGTGTCTGTCTAGGATGGAAGTAAGCTTCGCTATGTAGATGCACTTGCCGATCACTTCAGCACATCCTGGCGTAATTCCAGGACTTCTGGTTGAAGGTCAGTGGGACAGACTGGTTGACCAGTTTGGCATTCAGGTTTTGGGGCCGGCCGCATCTCTTGCACCCCAGAAGCTTCGGCCATGAGCTGAGGAACGGATGGAAACACATTGAAAAGTGGGAGGCGAAAGCTGCGGCAGCTGCGCAGGCCCTGCCTCCTCGGCCGAAACCCACGGGCCCCACATCAACGGAGCTGATGCAGCCGGAAAAGCCACCGGTCTCGGCACCGCAAGCGTGACCCGGCTCCAACTGCGATCAGGATTCGAAAGCATGACAAAGCAGAACACGACCGAAAGAACAACGAGAACACAACAACTCTCACCATCAGCACCACGAGCACCAGCTGCTACCACCATCAAGACCGTTCTCGTCGTGATCGTCGTCGTGGTCCGTTTCGTTATCTTAAGCGGGTCAGCACTTGGACCAGCTGCATCTTCGCAATCGTCATCGCCGTCATCAACATCATGTCGTTCTCGTTTGAGACAGCAGCATCATGGTCCTTTGTCCCTCGTGTTTGTAGTAGCTGGATCCTCGTCATCTTCATTCCATCCTCACCTGCATCGTCAACACCACCACGCCCATCGCAATACGATTATGCAACAATAACAAACACGAACAGTTGCTCCTCTATATAATATTGGTTAACTTGCTGTTACCGTTGTTCTTGTTGATATTGTTATGCTTATTAGCCTCAGTAAAGAGACCTGAGAAGAAAAACTTCGTATGCTCCAAACTGCACATGAAGTGCAGGGAAGTCCTTGACAAAGTGCGAAGCAAACCTGGGCTGGGTTCCCAAAGCATTCCTCAAGGTAGAAGTACTTGGAGGTTCAAATCTCTTCGGATTAATCTTTGGGTTGGAAGTAGGCCAGACGCGCAGGAAGCTGCAACCCCGTAGATGTTCAAGGACCTTGCAGACTCGTGCGTGAGAGGTTTTCAGGGGCCCCACTCCCTGAGGAACGGCTGGGGCAACGCTGAAAGGGAGCCGAAGGCAAAAGTGCCGCCTCGGCAACCTGGGTCCTCGGCAGAGTCGAGATACTTGCATGCGCCACCAAGCGCTGCGCCCCCGCCGTGACCCGGCTTTCAATTGTGTTTGAACATGACCAAGAGCATGTGTGGAGAGCCCTGATCGGAAGCCCTGGCAGGAGCAACAAGCATCGTGATCATCATTTGGGGTTTCGGAACGGGATGATATAGAAGCAATGCTCAATGTGTCAATTGGCGCAACGACAAACATCAAGCAAGCACGGCCACAACTGCAAGATGAGATGCAGGAGCGGAATTGCATATTGAGGTGTTAAGGAAAAATACGATTCACAGGGCTGCTTGCCCGGGCGCTTTGGCGACGACCGCCTGAAGGCAGCAAAAGTCGGGGTTAAGTTCTGTCAATAGGCGCCGTGCACTCCACTTACAAAAGTTTTCCGGTTGAATGAGTCTAGCATGGGAGTAGGGGTTCTTACAACCGCCTCATCAGAATGGCCAAATCCTGCAGGCATAAGCTTTCAATGGTGCAAGTTGTGCCGTTGAAGCCCGCTTCCTACCCTGGCTGGAACAGTCAGAGTTTGGAATGCCATCGTGACAATCAGGATCCAAACATGCAACCATGTGACAGGACTGCTTTACGTACATTGAACTCTGGCTCTGCATCAATGAAACTGCTTTTCTCTAACATTTCCGAGGATTCCGAAGGCCGCTCCAACGCTGGAAGCTTGGCTCGCCCCGCATTCTGCCAGTGAAGCGACTGCAGAGCCCCAGGCAGCCCACCAGGCCACTGGCTTTGTTATTTGCTCCTTCTTTGTTCTATGCGGCGAGCAGCTTCTGCAGACTTCCCGATAAGCTCGTTCCTTTCTGCGGCCATTCAGTATAGCAGCGCCTGTACAGGAATCTGCAGATGTAACACCTGAAGCTTACCCATGTGTACCATCAACCTCGAACGTGCGCTCCTTTCCACCGCTGCATGATTGCATAGGTTGGCAAGGCTCCGTTCCTGCACCCTCGAAGCGTGGCGTAGCTGACGCCCCAAGGACCCTTCACCCCACAACCATCTCTCGTCCGGTTAGATTTGAGCACCTCAAAAGCATCGAGACGAATCTGAACGCAAGCAGGTCTAGGATGTTAAGTGCTCTTAGGGCATTTGAGTTTAGGGTTGAAGGGGGATTGACACAGGTTAGCTTTCCTGTTTGTTGGAGGCAGATCACTCCACGACCCACGAAGTTCACAGCTGCACAGACCACAAATCCTTCCAGCTCAAACCCTCTGAACTCATCCCTAGACCCTCAAGCCACCCGAAATTGAAATCTCACATGCGAGGCTTACAAGGCGCCACCGGCGTCTTTTCAAGTCCGAGATCCAGTGCCAGCTTTCGCTCCGCAGGAGCCTTGTGGGAGATGACGGTAACAAAGCGTGCTTAAGAATTAGACTGGGGTTTGGCGGTATAGTCTGCTATAGCTGTATGTGGACTACGATGCTGTTGCTTCTGGGTCTGGACAACTGCTTAGGTTATTTCTAAAGGTTCCCTATTGTGGGTATACATGGTTATGGTATTATATGCCTCCTACACCTTGTTGGAATCATGAAAGCCCGCCTTTAGGGCGGCCAAGCAAAGATGGCCGCGGGCTGCAGGGCTAAGCAATACAATATCCCTGGCAAGATGAGCTGAGCAGATACGAACAACTTCTTGCAGATCCTATTTGGATCTAGCTTGGCGCGTCCTAGCCCTTCAACACGAAGCCCTCAATCTCTCGAATCATCCCATCCTGAAAACTCCTTTGGCTTGTGAAAGACGGACACAGAGCCATTGGACTACGAAAACCTCTACAAACGTATTCTGAGTAGTGGAATACTAGTCATGACGACGCTAGCAACAATGGCAACGGGTCTTCACAGCAACTTTGGCGGCTATGGTAAGGTCGGTGTGCCACTGGTGAAAAAGAGTTTAGTAGTAAGAGGAGCAGACGTAGCAAGGGCAAAAGCTGTTCTGGCTGTACAACATTGCAAGATTCCGGATGTCGATCCGCATGAAGAACGTACTGCACCAGCAGCTGCAGAAAGCGCGACACGGATATCGAAAGCAGAGGGCGCCAGTTGCTGTGAATACGATAAGCGGCACATATCGCAGTCGAAGCGGTGGCAGCATGAAGCAGCAGCACGAGCTGCAGTAGTAGTAGTCGTCGTCGTCGTAGTGGTAGTGGCAGGAGGAGAATAGGGAATCGGAGGAAGAGCAGGAGTAGTAGTTGTCGTCGTGCCAGAGAGAGACAGAGCGAGGGCGTAGGGAGAGCAGCATCAAAGCAGGCCTCAAGCAACATGCGCGGCTAGGCGAAGGACACACCATGACACCACACTTCGAGCTTAACCGGTTACGGTGGTACAGAGAGCTAGAAGCAAATAAAGATGCCAAGCCTTCCAGCATGAAGATCCTACAGTAGCAACAAGCTGTCACAGGGAGCCTTAGGACAGCACAGCAGTGCGTCAAATGAACATGCAACACTATGCTGAAATGCAAGAACGCCAGAATGACATCGCAAATGCGGAAAACTTGTATAGAGCTGTGTAGCAACCTGAAACACTACAAGCATGTGAGAAGATAAAAAGGCAGACGAATGCATCAGGTTCATAATGTAGCCGGAAAGTAGCGTGGCATTGCAATGACGGAGAAGCCTGCTTGAAGCATATTCACGGACCAATGCTTTGCGACGACTCTCGTCAGAGTAAGCTAAGGCAAAACGAATATTTGTTGCAGTAGCAGCAAGAAGTTTAACTATGGTTGTGCGCAGGGTCTTTTCATCGCATGTGGCAGTTACGGCAATCTCCTAACCAGCCGCATGAAGAACGGCACTGCTAGTAAGAATAGAGGTGGAACAGAAAAGTATACAGAGCAAGCCAGTGGCATGATCATGTGCTTCTATATACATAAATGTACATATTATATATGTATGTGCATAAGCTTATGTATATATATAAATACGTATGTGCACATATAGAGAGATCGAGTACCTTTCTGTTTGTATGTATATATATATGCTTTACGTTTGTACACATACATCATCCACCTGCCGCCTGCCTCCAGGAGACACCTGTCCAGCAGGCAGACTCCTCGCCGAAGGTCTGACGGGGTATAAGCGCCCCAAATGCCCCAAGACTGTTTGTAAGAACGTTCAGATTGAGTTGACATGTGCAGTGTTAGGAGGTTTCGGATATCCGTGAAATCATGAGAGCTTCGAAATCATGCCTTCCAGCCAGAAACGAAATCTCAGACTCCAAGGTACGGGACAAAGGATGTTCCAAACTTGGAATTGTGTGGCAGGCGTGGCTGGATGGTGCCACATCACAGCTCCCACGGAAAGCACCGCCCGGCTCGTTGCTGTCGCAGGCACGACGAGGGGCTCTCTTTACTAGCAGTGAGGGACTTGCACAGCCAGAAGCACTAAGCATGACACGAGGAAAAAAGCAAGTTGTCAATGTGCTTCCACCAGCTGACCTGGGACTTCAGGGGTCGTTGGAGCTTGCTGCTTGCAACATGGTGCCGGTACTTCCATGCCAAGTTCGTAGACACTGGTCAGCTGTAGTGCCTTCGGCCATAAACCGCAAGGAAGTGAAACTGTTTCTCCGGCTCTGCACTAGGTGTTCTTCAAGCAACCGCAGTGAGCCAGGACTGCTTAAAAAGGGGATTCAAATTTGACACACTCCATGCATTCCTGACTCTCAGCGGTGTATAGCCACTCCAAAGCGTCAGCGCCACGAACATCCGTGAACAAGCAGCTAAAGGCCTGGAGTGCTCAGTTGAGGTGGAAAGCTTTGGCAACATGCTCATGGCTGAACAAGCAACCACCGAACAAACAGTTCTCAGGCTTCAGGGTTTTGTGGGTGTATGATCGGCATCGAGGTTGAGGGCGGAGCCTTTCGCACATGACTGTGAAAGGCAGCAGCCGCCTTCGACCTGCCGAAGCAGGCCCCAGCTGCTTCTTGTCCAAAACTGCTGCCTATAGAGACCCCAACCCAGTTCAAGAATGGTAAGCTAAGGGACTGTCAGCAGAATTGCTTGAAGCCAGCTTCGGGAAGAGTGGCTCGAATGTTTGGAGGGCAGGAGGGCTTTTGGGTTCTGGGTGATCTAGCAAGAGTACTTGGTCCGCCTTCGGGCTTTCCATCTGCCTCACGAGCTTCTCGTCCTGGGTTAAGCTAAGGGCTGCGGAAGCTCCTTGGTCTACGGGTAGGGTCTCTATAATGCTTGTGCCCTTATCCTGGCTCCGGCACCCTTTTTTTCTCTCCAACTTACCACTTGCTTCTCAATCCGATAGCTCAACGCAAGAAATCAAAACAACCTAAAATCCTCAACTCCAAGCTCGGACTCCTACATCTTTACGGTGAACTTTCACTTTCTGATTCAGGTGGGATAGGGTCGGTGTCAGTGAGTCAGGCCAACTCGTTCTTTAGTAATTATCGACACGCTGAAGCCAAGCCGAAGAGGCGAGGATGGAAGCAGCCAAACCCCAAGCTTCAGGCCGTTTACGGCTCCCTAAAGCACCACGCCTTTCAAATCTCAACTCTAAGTCTCTCAGGCCTTCGGCTTGGATGCGCCGGTGGCTATGAAGGCTCCGCCAATTCCCCAGGAGCCTTTTGAAATGTCACCTCAGGGTTTACGGCGCCGACTCTAGGGTTGCATTCTTTGGTTCAGGGTCCTTGGGGTTGTAATGCTCAGGGTCTAGTGCCGCAGGCATGTGGGGGCTTACGGGTTTCGAGGAGTGTTTAGGGATTTGAGGGCTTCGGGTCTCTTAGCCCATCCCCCCCACATCTTCCGGGGTCTTTCCTGGGTTGAAATGGTTTTGTTTCAGAAACTGTAGGATGATCTCTACCACATGCGAGCGGCTTTGCACCACACACTTTGACACATCGAGTTGACACCGGTTTGGGCGGTTTGGGCAGCCACCCAGGTTGTTCAGGTTGCATTCTCGTTGCGCAGAAACTGGGCTTAGGGTTGTGATCGTGATCGCTCTGGTTTTTCACGAGCTCCGTGTGGCAGGAGACATGGCTCAATTCTCGAGACATTTGCTTTGACTGCAGCAATTGCTTGCTCGGAGAAGGCTAACAAACAAGTCGTGGGCTCATATTCCTGGCAACGGCTTTGCTCGTGCGGACTTGTCAGGCATGTACACCAAAGAACGCCCCGGTTGAATTCGGCTCTTGATTATTCGACCACTCAGAATTCCAGCCAAATACAATCGCTTGAGGAGAAACTTGGCACGCAAAGCCAAGCGAAGCCACCTCCGCCGTCTGTGCCACCTCCCAAGAAGCCGCCACTATCTTCACAGGCATGGCCATGAGCTTATAAGTTTTTCGTCATAGAGAGACAAGACGAATTTCCGTATGGATCAGGTGTGAACGGTGGGCATAGGACTAATCACAGTTGCGGGAGGGTGCAAAATAGATTCACGATCCTCTTCACAGCCACTGCTCCACCATTCGCTTGTGCACTTGGATCCGATCGTTCGTAAGTCATGCTAGAAATCTTGAGGCTATGGAAGCCCTTGATGCCCCTATCCAACCCATGAGAAGCTCCAGGATTCAACATGCAGCGAAGCCGCAAAGCTTCACGCTGTGGCCTATGCTATCTTCAACCTCCTAAGAAACGATTGTTTTTTCTGTCGGGTGATGATCACGCTTGGGGTTTGTCGGCTACACTTAGTTGCAGATACATCCTTGAAGCCCCGGCAAAACTCATCGAAACCTTCCTTGCGTTATGTGACTACGCGACTTGGTGAGTCTATGCTGTTGCTAGAATGTGAACGGTAGGGCAAAGCCGATGCCTGGCCTAGCCACGATTGAGCTGTCAAGCGCCTGAAGCTTCGGACTTCCCAAGCAAAGAGTCCATCCAACAGGCCTCGGTTCAGCGTGCAGGCAGGATGCAAACCGCCAGTGTTGCATTTTCTCCATTGCCGGAGGAAGCCACGCCGCCAAAGCAGAAGATGCCCCCAATGCCGGTAACTTCCCCACAGGCCCCTTGCCTTCGTTCTGCAAGCGTGATTTGGCGTGTTGGGGTGCGTGTTGCGTTATTAGCTTGTGAGTGATAGAGTCTAGGGCCAGTGCCATAAGCTAGATAGGCTGAGTGCTGGGAGAACGAAGTTGGGCGAATTCAAA